AAATCCTACTGGCGTAAGCAAAAGCCTACTTTTGTCCTAGAAACCTGACTCAATCTGAACATATATGTTTATATGCCCACACGTTAATATGTTATCGTGTTGGATGTAAGCATACATATTCTCATAAGAAAATGGCAATTCCCGTTGGCCTGGGGTGGCAACCAAGAGACAGAACTTTCTGTTTCTATAAGGAGTGGGCCCGCAGAACTAATGGGAAAAATACCCTGCGGCCAACTGGTAGGTTTTGTTAACAGTATTCTGATCTTGTAGATGACTTCAACAAGGTTCTATTGTATGAGAGCCGCTATCAAACAGGGACGGATGTCCCGTCATCGGATGCAACCGAGGTTATGCAAAACTTCGGTGAAAGAAAAATGGAAGATTATTTTTATTTTGTTCACATATATATTTTCATTCAGATTTCTTGTGCATAACTCGGATTATTTATTCGAGGAAAGTCGGGTTGATGACAAAAAACTCGCATCAAAACCCATGCCTAGGAATTTGTTTCTTTTGCCTGACGGTTGAACCTGAGCCGTCTACGTCAGCTGTATGTTCACTGTCTACCTCTCAATGTCAAACTATATCACGCATTTCCTAAGTTATCTCATCAACTCAATCTATAACCAATGACACTGGGTGATGGTCAGTCCCAATGCAGGTCGGGAAATTCCGCGTCAATCAACGCCAGTGACCTCACCGGTGATGACGCAACGAATAACGAGGTGAGTGCGATCATTGTCATGTAACATTAATATCTATCCATAACCATTAGTTTTCAACTCTCAACGTTACCGTCGAGTCTACTGCATTTGCACGAGTATGCGGTAGGTCTCAGATCTCTTTCGTAATTCTTTATTACAGAAAAGATTAAGAAAATAATACTCGATTTGGCCTCTGCGAAAGAGGAGCACAAACTCCTACGGGCTCATATTATTTCACAGAATATCTCAATGGCTGGGAGGAATCCGCAGTCTTTTAAGCTTCTGTCTACCAAAATGGAGGAATTTCGGTTACTCAAAGATAGACTGCAAGATCTGGAATACTACCATCAGACCGTATGTCGCTTTTCAGAAAGTGCACAATCACTTTATAGATTCAGCACATAGCAACTGTCGGCGGTTGTTTGTGCTGCGGAGTTCATTCGACATGCAATGAACGCATTATTACACCCTTCAAGATCAACGATAATAAAACGGAAGGGGAAGTATAACAGGATGTGCTTGGAGCACACAAGCGTGGCGCGCGTAGTTGTCGGTGAATGCTTTTCTTCGAGTAAATCATATTTTTTCATTTGTTTCAGAATTTGCAATGGCGAAGTAGTTTCCAGGGGAAACTCACTCCAAAATACACGAAAGAATTCAACGGCGGATCCAGAAATCAAGAGAAAAGTGTCACCGTCGAGACAGTAACAAAAACGTAGCACTGGATACTGATGAGACACGGCGCTGCAGCGCCTGTTGAAATTGACAAATAACTGTATATTTTTGGAATAAATACATGTTTAAATCGTGTTTTACTTAAATCTAGGGACGGTTTTGGTTACATTTGTTTCACGGTCGTTGCATTACCAACAAAAATCGAATTTGCGATTTATGTGTTTTTATGGCTGCGGTAGCATAAAAGATCTATTTGCTAAGGGATACGAGTCGTTTTAGAATTTGTATCCGCTGGAAGCATTTACCCACGGGGAAATTCCTTTTTATTACGATTACAGCTATAACCAGGAAGTTTGGAAATAATTGTGCATATTATTTCCGTGGAATGTTTGGAATAGGTGTGGAGCGTGTAGAAAATACGATTTAGTAGTCCAATTAGGGTCCCTTGAGGTCCCCCCAGAGTCCCATTAGAGTCCCATAAAAGTCCCATTAGAGTCTCTTAGAGTTCCATTAGATTCCATTAATAAATGGAATCTAATCGGACTTATAAGTCCAATTACAGCCCCACATAGGGAGTTCCCATTGAGCACCCAATCATGGTGCATTGAGACTCTAATAGGACTGTAAAGAGACCATAAAAGCTTTTAGAGTCCTAGGATGATGGTGCTGGCAGGGCATATATATCACCAGCCTGCAGGGGAGAACAGTTTCAACGATAAAACAGTAAGAACAATAACAGCGGATGGTTGGAATAGGGTACTAAAAAGAGTGAAGTGACGGTCAAAAAAGTACGACTGTAATATTAATACAACAATTGTTGTATTGACAATATATATTGTCAATAATTATTATATAATAATTATTGTACAACACAATACAATATCTTAAGATTTTGTCATCACGATGACAAAAGGAAAAAAGCGCTTTTCCTACCTTTATCTTCTGAGTGGTCTTCTCTGGCATATAATCCCATGGCGCAGGTAATTTCCTGGCATCTGCGACCGTTAATTCCAGTTTTCTTTCATTCAATGAATTAAACGGGGCATATCCAATATCGTATCTGTCACAGGTTACATCACAAACTTTGTAGGCTCCTGGACCGATTTTTTCACTTGTTCCTGTTTTCTGTTGGAAAGTGAATTTTCTTTCCGCTCTGTCGTACATTGATACCAAAAAATAAAATCAACCTCACGGAAACAACGAGGTCATTCGAGCTATTACAATTACGTTGTCAATAGAACTCAAATGCTACCTTGCAATTTGACGGATTGAAACAAATTTTCAATTTAAGAACGCGAAGAGGTTTTCGTCGGTATAATGTACCACTGGTATAGTTATTTGTCGTGCAACAGACTCCGCGGTTAACGGATTTGAATTTGTCTGCAAATGAATAAATCAGGTCAGATCTTGTAGACTTGAAATATCAACCGGGTGCGAGGCTAGACCCAATGGTTCCGGATCTTAGTGACTTCCGAGGCTTCTTCTTGTCCTGTGTCCCAGAAAGCCGGATACGGACGGGGCTCCACCGCAGCGAACGTTGGATAATTAGAGTTTGCACAAGGCGGTTATCTGAAATGACGTTGGCGCTACGTTCGAACTGGTTGCGTAAATCTTGCTCTCTGAAAATACCATGAATTTTGAAGGTTTCACTGCGCGAAACCAACTGTACGGTGGTTTCGTTTTGGTATTATACTCTGATAAGTGCGGTTTTACCGTTTTCGCACTGTTTTTCGGTGTAAACTGATTTCAGTCGTTTTGGATTTTTTGTTACCCGAAGTTTTAAATTTTTTCAAAGTTAGCTCGTATTTGAGGTATTTTTTGTGCATTTTTTCTCGCTGTGAACCTAGCTATCACTAGTAACATGCTTAGGACTGCCTTTCCATGCTTGAGTGAGCAATGTGGAAAGCGGGTAGTTTATGGCATAGAATGTGATGTTTGTGAGAAATGGGCACACGCAAATTGCTCTGGGATAACACCAGAGAGATATGCTGTGTACTGGAACGATCCAGGGTCGCAGTGGGTCTGTAAATTTTGCGTAGACATAGCTAAAAGAGCATTGCTAGAGACCGTTGCCAACGGCATACCTCAAGAGAAACTATCGGTTATCAGCCTAACCAAAGAGAGCAAGAAAATGAATCCGCCGAAAACATACGCGGATGCTGCAAATGCTGACCAATGCTGACCCCACCATCCGGGGATGTAAGGGGAGTAGCAAAGCTAAGACAGCAGCCGTTTCTACTGTACCGCGTGTGGTCAGGGCGCCTCTTGCCAAAACCTTAAAGGTTGAAGCTACTGGCAAAGGCTCGAGTAAACCCAATGGGGTCACGAAAATCATCCTAAATGAACTAGAAGATCAAATAAAGGAGATCAGTGAGCGGCTTAGGTCACTGAAAGCAACAGAGGGAGGCGAAACTGGTGTCCATAAGACACGTTTTGATCCTCAACAATGAAGAACCGCTAGTAATGGAGACGAAAGCTCGTCGGGACATAGATAGACGCAGGGTGCTAGATATCCTACGTATAGCTGGCATGGAACGATGTGAACTCAGGAGGGTCCATAGAGTGGGCGTATGGCGGGGGACAAAAAATGGTCAACTCCGAGCGGCTAGGCCACTTCTAGTGGAATTTGCCGACCAAGCCAGTAGAAATCTACTACTGGCAAACTCTGGGAGAATATTCAACGTAACATGGGGCAGGTACAAAGTAACCCCGGATGTGCTCAGGGGGCTTAGAAGGCAGGGCGTTGGAGCACCCAGGTTGCACAGTCACTTATCGAGTCAATTCGAGGTGACTGGAGGAAACCGATCCTTGACGACCGGTGGAAATAAGGTTTCACCAATAGTGGTGATCGAGGATGTCATGGAGAACGAGGAAAGGCAGAGCTGGTTGCTTGTAACCAACACTTGCAGTATTAGAAATAAGTGGATGGAACTCTTCGCAGCAGCATGTGACCTAAATGCAGCTGTAATAGCTGTAACGGAAACAAGGCTTAAGGACCACGATAGGGCACCGGGTTTAGTGTTAGACAACTTCACCATCCATAGGCAGGATCGGCCTCTAGCACCAGGAGGAGGAGTAGCCTTCCTCATAAGAAAGGATATTGTGCACATGGTTTGCGAAGTTTCACTGAACCTGCACGGTGTTCAACTATGTGCCGTAACTCTTCTGATGCCGGACAAAAAGATTACGTTGGCGTGCGTTTACCGGTGTCCCGACGCTGTGACCACAGATGACCGGGCACTGCTTGACGCACTAGATGTCTTAGTTCAGGGATCAGCAAAGTTGTTGGTGACTTTAACTTAACTGATATAGATTGGATGGCAGGTAGGTGCACCCAAGATATTCAGGAGGAAAGGTATTTAGAGTGGATAAACACCAGGGCACTTTTTCATCACCTTTCATTCTGCACGCGGTTTAGAGCCCAGCGGGAACCATCCCTACTGGATCTAGTATTTTCCAAAAGGGAACAGGATGTATTTGGTGTCACTGGATATCCACCACGGATCCAGCCTCGAAGCTGCATCTGTGGAACACAACCTAATTTGGCACATACTTTTATAAGTATTGTGACCCATCTCGCCTTACTTTATATATATCCGATTCTGTTTTCACTCGACTCACTTGGCTCAACTCCGTGGCACATGCTAACCAGGTAGCAGTGTCCACTTTCTCAACCAATTTCATACCAGTACACGGATCCAGCCTCGAAGCTGCATCTGTGGAACACAACCTAATTTGGTACATACTTTTATAAGTAATGTGACCCATCTCGCCGTACGTCTTATATATTCGATTCCGTTTTCATCCGACTCAATTGGCTCAACTCCGTGGCACATGCTAACCAGGTAGCAGTGTCCACTTTCTCAACCAATTTCATACCAGTACACCGATCCAGCCTCGAAGCTGCATCTGTGGAACACAACCTAATTTGGTACATACTTTTATAAGTAATGTGACCCATCTCGCC